GCTGATTGGTTGGCATTACTGCTACTGAGAGCTGATTGGTTAGCATTACTGCTAGTGAGTGCTGATTGGTTAGCAATACTGCAACTGAGTGCTGACTGGTTAGCAATACTGCTACTGAGTGCTGATTGGTTGGCATTACTGCTACTGAGTGCGGATTGGTTAGCAATACTGCAATTGAGTACTAATTGGTTAGCATTACTGCTACTGAGTGCTGACTGGTTGGCATTACTGCTACTGAGTGCTGATTGGTTGGCATTTCTGCTACTGAGTGCTGATTGGTTGGCATTTCTGCTACTGAGTGCTGATTGGCTAGCATTGCTGTTACTTAGTGCTGATAGGTGTCCATAGGAACCCATGCATTTTGGACTCGGTCAGGAGCGCCATCTAGTATCTGACAAACTTCTCTGGTTCCATTGCAGTTCTGTCTATTACTCTGTAGTTTTTTAAGCTGTTATGTCTGTACAAGTACTCAGGCTGTTTTTGGAAAATTGCTATGAATTTTACTGCAGTTATTATCACACAGTGCATTAATGCAGCTGAGTACTGACTGGTTAGCATTACTGCTACTGAGTGCTGATTGGTTAGCATTACTGCTACTGAAAGCTGATTGGTTAGCATTACTGCTACTGAGCCCTGATTGGTTGGTATCATTATTACTGAGTGCCTATTGGTTAGTATTACTGCACAGATGTCAGATGTTATTTGCATATATCACTCTTAAGGGCGCAGCGACAAAAACAGCCTGTTTAATTCTAAGGGATAAAGAGGTTATAAAAGGGTCACGTAGAACAGAATTCTGACTATTTTTGGTACATAAAACCACACAAACGACATAAGTAGGGGGAAAAAGTAAAATGCAAGAAAAATATAGGATGTGGGCCCTTTAAATATGCACACATGCTCAGATGGAGGGCCTGGGTTTGTGTGCCTGTGTGTGGGTGTGCCAGTGGTTATATAACCAAGGTAAAGAAACCCCTATCATAAAACAGGCATGAGCTGCACGGCTGCCAGGAGGCCTTTCAGGACTGTGTAATGTGTAACAGCGCTGCACAATATACACTGCATGCCCAAAAGTATCCAGACAGCCTTTTTAACGAGTGCATCCAGCGTTTTAAGTATAAGACGTAGAGTGGTTTGTTGTTAAATGCTCCAAACCTACCGCAGTGTTAATGATAGGAACCAGACGTCTGAAGAGTTTAATGTTAAGTTTCTCTGTAATGCTCCATTTCACATCAAACCGCTGTGCATGACTTTGTTTACATCTTAACCATTTAATTATGCAGAGACCTTTAAAAATGAGTGAAAGAATGTGCACCCATTGCTGACGCAGTTTATATAATCTCTGTAGAAAAGCACTGATCAATAGACTGGACCCTCTGGAGCAGCCGCATATCAACCTACGGTCACCATGCCCTTCGGCTAGAGGGGTGTAAAGCCCCCCAGCATTTAGTTTGTGTATAAAATGTATTAATGCCTGTTCATGTGAGTGTCTATTTACACAACATTTGAACTTGAGATGGAATGTTTAGCAGTTTTAATGATATATCGTAGCATAAAAGCCCATCATTATCAAAACATTTCTTCACGCACTTTTAAAAAGGATGGTTCTTCAAGGGTTCTTTAGTAAAGAAAATGGTTTTATAAAGAGCCATGAACACCCAAAGAACTCTTTGCATAAATAAAGTGTTCTTTGCATCATGAAATGGTTCTTCAGATTGATGGAGAATGTGTTGTAGATGGTTCTCTATAGAACCTTTTTAAAAAGAGTCCTATATAGCACCAAAAAGAGTTCTTCTATTGTTACAAGCTTGACATCATAACAATAGAAGAACCCCTTTCGGTACTATACAGAATCATCTACAGCAAATTCATACAAAAAACCCTTTCTTGATGCAAAGAACACTTTGATCATGCAAAGGGTTCTTTGAGTTTCTTTACTAAAAACCCTTGAAGAACCATTTTTTTTAAGAGTGTATAGTAATAAACTGAACAGTAAACAATAGTAGTGCTGGGGATCATGTCACTTCCCTTTACATTTTAGGTGATTTTTTGGGTGTTTTAAAGAAATAAAAGAGTCTATCACTAATAATTACTGCGCAAAATGATTTAATGATGAAAATGATACTGAAAGGCAGCATTTGTGCCTACATTAAATAAACCTACATTAACATTTATAAAGGTTTATTCCAAGTATTAGTTGTCATAAATGCCACTTTGTCAGTTTTGATGTCATTTCACCTCTGCAAGTGTTATGACAGCTGATGATAGCTGCAATAAACCTTTATAAATGTCTATAAAGGTGAATGTCAGTTGTTACGTAGGTGTCGTGTAGCCTTATGAATGCTGCCCTTCACTAAAGTGTCATACAAGTCTGCATATACTACAGCCTTAAAAAAGGTTCTTCAAGGGTTCTTTAGTAAAGTAAAGGCAATGATTCATGAACCATGTGTTCTAAATAGAACCATTTGCATGCTGTAATGGTTCTTTGCATGGTGAAATGGTTCTTCAGCATGATGGAAAATGTGTTGTATATGGTTCTATATAGCACCAAAAAAGGTGCTGTTGCAGTTACAAGTTTGACATTGCAACAATCGCAGAATCCTTTTCAAAAAGATATATAGAACACATGGATCTAAATACAAGCATTGCCTTTACTAAAGAAAGCTTGAAGAGCCGAGTTTTTTAAATGTGTATATTATGTTTAATTAAACTCCTCATATTTGAGCGGCAAAAAATGACCTTGCTTTGCCTTTTTACTTTGAAAAATCATGTTTATGTGTTTGAAATGCCTGTTCACTGGATTTCTTAAATAAAATGTACAGCAGTCTACTTCCATTCACGTTATTTGAACAGAAACAAAGGAGCAACTCCAGTGAGAAACCCTCAAATGCTACAAAACAGCCTCTGCGGACAGTCTAACAGCTCCTCTGGTGCAGGGCTAACAGAGTGCAGCTGATTTATTGAAGATGCATGGCTGTTTAATAGCTTGTGCAAACCGAACTAGGTCAGTGGGGTGAAGGCTTTGTGGCAGACTGCAAAGTGTGCCATGTTCTACTAAGGTAAAAGCCTGAACTGAATGAATAATGCAGAACGCAGTGCATAACAGGGTCTTTCTGCAAACCGTAGCAAGATTTATATTGAATTGGAACACAACGGAAGTCAGTTTGTTGCCTGCAGGTTGCACAGTGTATGGTATATACTGTGACAGCATTGCAAAAGCGCCATATACATGAGTTTACATGCACAAAGAGCACGTATTAAAACGTCCTACTTAAGAGTGCTGCTACTTTAGTGATTATTCACTTCCCCGTTTTGACTGGAAATGAAATACATGATTGGTGGCCTCTGAATTTTGCAAAGAACTGTAAGTAAAAGCACTAAAGAAAAGTAACTCATGTATTCAGTTGAGTCAGATAATGTTTTTTTTAATGTTTTTTAGTGGGCGACATACTGGCTGAAATGCTTCTTAAGGTATTTGTTATTAAGGTTATTTTGATATGCAAATAAATAAAGATAACACAACGTACAAACTGGACAAAACATGCTTATTCACCTCTCATGTTGTGAGCTGTAGCCTGTGGTCAATTAGTCCAGTTTATTGTCAAAGGAGCGACATCAGATTGTATTGAGTCTATGAGTTAACGGGGAAAAGCGAGGAAAAGCCAGTCTCTTGGGGTTAGCCATTAGCCCTTAGCCTAACATGAAGAATAGCCGGCTTTCCGTGCTCCTCGCTTGGCCAGCTGCTTAAGGCGACACTGTGGTCTTGGCCTACAAGCTGAGAGGCTCTGCTCGGCTAAAACTGATAGTGTGAACGGCTGTAATATTTACTAAATTCAGCAGCATCTGACGCTTGTAGATTAAAGCTCAAGTGTGAGAGACACACATATGAGACAAATGACATTTGGACATAATACAACATTCAGCACTGTTTTTGCTGCGTTCAGAGAAGTCGCTGTGGTACAAACGCCTTCATCCTGTTAGAGTCAGAAAGCAACATTGACATCTGTCTATATATTGTTCATACTGTTCTTAAAATTTTGCTCGATAAAAATATTTTTGATTTATTTTAGTGATTAAATATGGTTCTTATTAGAAGTGAAGTGACGTCCAAAATAATACGCCACTGTTAATCTACAAAAAAGGTTTATTTAAGCATTCAAAGTGGTTTTATTTGAAAAAAATATGCATAAATATACTGTACCATAATATATACTTAAACCATTTTGCCCAAACTGCCCACTACTAGTTTAAAGGTTATTTGCCTTACAAAAAGTGCACTGCTCAAAAGGTTCATGTGGGCTGCCTCACAGGTTTACCTTGAACTTTAGCATTTTAGCTAAGATTGGTTGGTAGCGTTTGGAACTGAAGCTTGAAGCTTCCTTTATTAGAAATCAACACGAGTAACATCACTATGACAACACTAAAAAAAGCACAATTTTGGAAAAAATCAAGTACTGTAACGGGAGCAGCTATAATTCATTATTTTTCACCTGTGACAAAGATTCTATAGACATTGTTCACTGGAAGTAAACAGCTGCATAGTGATGATCATTTCTAATAAGTGTTAAGTACTAGTAAGAATGGAGAAACAGGGGCTGTACATAGATTATTAGACAGATAGAGATACAGAGATATCTGATATCAGTATGTGCAGATAACATATAAGAAAAAAGGACCAAAGCTTAGTTTTGACACATATTTCTAACTGATATTTGATGATGCATTTATTCAACTCCAGAAGAGCAGAATTCTTAGGTGACTCTGGGTGACTGGACTGAAATATCAGCATTTTATTCACTTTACTGCACTACTGAACTCTGCAGAAATATATTATATTTCTCTGTAATGCTATTTCAGGTAAATTCAGGCCAAATTTTTTTTTAGAAATGTTTATGTTTTACTGGAATAGACAGATATTTACATAAAAAGTACCTGAGAGCAAAATCAGCCCACAGTTCCCACACTATGGGAACTATGGACTACAATTAAAAATGACTTACTTTGGCCATTTGAGCTTGGACTCCACTGGACTTCAGGGCAGTTACAGCTTTCTGTGCTGCTGCTGGACTGTCAAAGTCGACAAATCCATAGCCTGGAAATATACACACGATTCATAAATACAGAAGGTTTCATATTCATTATGTGAATGTCACAGATTATTAGCAGTATTAGCAGTTACTGTACATATTTATGTAACCATAGTATATAAAGGTTTCAAAATGCATTCAAAGGTAGTGCATCCATTTTCGAATGCTAGCATTGACTATAAAAATATGACATAATAACAGGCCCCTATAATTAGCAGCTTAATCATTACCATCATCAACATCCCATATAAAACCCAGAAGATACACGTAGGTTCACAAGGTTCTACTTGTGCTACCATTTGAATGATTAACCATTCGCTTAGTGACATACAAATAATTGCACTGTAATGCTTTTCATAAATGTATTACACTTAAGTTTAGTAAGTAATATGATATATCTGAATAAATACAATTTAAAAGGCTATTTTAAAATATATTAATACATTTGTATTGTATTACTGTGCAAATTGTAAGGTCAGAACAAGTGAATATTCAAAATACAAAAGTGTCCAAAAGTGTGAAAACACCTGTGTTTTTTCTGAAATTAAGGTATTAATAGTGAGTTTGTGCTGCAGTAACAGCCTCTACTCCTCTGGGAAGGCTTTACACTAGATGTTGGAACATTGCTGTGAGGATTTGATTGAGCATTAGTGAGGTCAGGTACTGATGGTGGATGGTTCTGTATCACTCCAACTCATCCCAAAGGTATTTGATGGAGCTCTGCTCCACAGCCCAATGCTGGGGGGCTTTATACCCCTCTAGCCCACGCTTGGCACTGGGTATGGTGACCTTAGGATCATGTGCAGCTGACCCCATTCTATTGGTCAGTGCTTTTCTATGGAGAGTGTGCACAACTGAACAGGTGCATCTCACAGTAGCTGGTCTGTCTGGACACTTTTGGACACACAGTGTAGTAATATTTGGTTATTATTACACAATTAAATAAGATTTTAATCCTTACCTTTGCACTTGTTGGTAGTTTTGTCCAGAATGGCCTTGGTGGACACAATCTTGCCATACCTTCAAAAACAGCAGAGAAAGGTCATGTACAGCGTGCATACACACAAGAGACATGCTGATCTGATCCAGGCTTATGTAATGGATCAGGTATGAAACCTGATCCAGGTCTGGATCTTTTGCTTCTTGTTTTTGCTCTATTTACTCGAATATTATCCACGACCTGCAGCAGTGAAGACACTTTTCAGAAGATAAACAATCCGTTTACACCTGGTGGTTTTATATGACCTGAATCTGGATTGTAAACTGATAAGATTTTAACCACATGCATTTACACTTGGGCATCAAAGGCGTCTGCAGTCAGGCAGATTGAAATACGACTGCTATATGCCACGGATATGCAAATCAGCTCATAGACAACAACCAATCACCAGTGTTGTTCCTTGTTTTTCAGGTTTTATTTAAAAGTTAACTGTTGCCTCAAAAATTGCAACTGTATTATTGTCAAATTGATGTTTACAAGAAAACGGCTGTTCAGAATAATTCGTTTTTGTAATAAGCTGGCAGATGTTTCGAACAACGAAATCAAACTACCGCTGAACTATTGTGGAAACTTCTGGTTTTAAACTGGTGTTGCCGTGCCATTAGAACAATATGAAATCATAGTACATTAAATACTATAAAAAGGTTATTTCACATCAGTAGTCCACAAAAAATATCAGTCCAGATTGTACACTGCAAATCATACAGTACTGTGCGAAAATCAGAGACCTCCTTCATTTTTTATTTGCAGTCTAAACAGCCATTAAGTCCAAGTTATTCATTTTCTGGAGATGTTTCTGAGGAGATTAGTTATAAGAAAATCCACTCCCCCCATTACTGTCTCCTCTCTCCACCTGTATGTTTGTGTCACTGAGGGAGATCTTTGTGCAGTAACCGGGCTCAGTGGTGTTGTTTTTCCTACAGGTTGAGACATCCCCCAGGGACAAAAACAATTTGTTCTAGCTTTTCCTTTCCCCACCTGTCTGTCTGCCTTTCTGTCTGTCTGCCTGTTCTTTCTGCTTCTCTACTAAAAATAAATCATACTGAAATAATGTAAAGAGCATGCGCACTGTTTGAATGTTGTAGCATAATTATACAGGACTCACTGTGCTAAACAGCCAGATGCCTATTACTTCACATGGAGCTGCTTATTTGATTAATGTTATGCAAATAGGCATCTAATTATTTTTTAAATTAGAGTTTTTTAAATTAAAGTTTAAAATATACATTAATAATATATAAAAATATTATTATTATGCAACTTTAAAAAAATAGTTCTTGTACTGGAGTGTTTCATGTGTTCACTTCACGTAGACTAATAACATTTTCATCCCTAATATTATTATATTTTGGGCATATTTTTTATACTATTATTTTACTAACCAGCTCCCAAAAACGGCACAGGATAACAAATAAACACACATCCTTTACCAAAGATCAACAGCCCAAAACAACAACATAAACAGTCCTGTTTCCTGGGGGCACATGCATCCCATGAGCCTCTCCGAACGGCATTTTGCATTGCCAAACCTCTATGCAGTGCATCACCACCATATACAGCGCTGTGAAGAAGTATGAAGAAGAAGCCACCTTACCAGTTTCTTCTATTTTTGCATATTTGTCACACTTGAATGTCAAACTACTTTCAACATTAGTCAAAGAAAACCCAAGTAAACAGACACTGTTTTTGAATGATAATTTCATTTACTGAATAAAAAATGCTGTTCAGCCCTACCTGGCCCTATGTGAAAAAGTAATTGCCCCCTTTGCTACTAAATCAACCAGTTAACCAAATTCAACTGACTATTAGGTACAGTTTCACCATCCACACCCAGGTATGATTACTGCCAGACCTGCTAAATCTAAACATCACTTTAAGAGAACCCGTCTGGCAATGTGAAGCAGGCTAGAAAGTCTAAAAAAGCTGTACATGATGCCACATTCTAAAGGGATTCTAATACAGATGCCAAACAAAATCACTGATATCTACCAGTCTGGAAAGAGTTACAAAGCCATTGCAAAGGCTTTGCAAAGGCTCACAGTGGTGAACCTTTCCAGGAGTGGGCAGCCGACCAAAATTTCACCAAGAGCACATCAACGACTCATGAAGGAGGTCACAAAAGAAACCAGACAAACATCTAAAGAACTGCAGGCCTCACTTGCCTCAGTTAAGGTCAATGTACATGATTCCACAGTAAGAAACACACTGGGCAAAACTGGCATCCACGGGAGAGCTGCAAGACACAAACCACTGCTGACCAAAAAGAACACAAAAGCTTGTCTCGCATTTGCCAAAAAGCGTCTAGACGAGCCCCAGGATTTTTGGGATAATATTCTGTGGACTGAGTCAAAGGTGGAACTTTTTGGATGACATGGGTCCCTTTGCATCTGGCAAAAGCTAAATACAGCTAACACCACATTCCACCATAAGAACATCACACCAACAGTCAAACATGGTGGTGGTAGTGCGATGATCTGGGGTTGCTCTGCTTCAGCAGAACCTGAACGACTTGTCATAACTGATGGAACCATGAATTCTGCTCTATGTCAGGAAATCCTGAAGGAGAATGTTAGCCTGTCAGTTTCTGACCTAAAGCTCAAGCGCAGTTGGGTCATGCAGCAGGACAAGGAACTGAAGCACACAAGCAAGTCCAGCTCTTGAATGGCTCAAAAGAAACAAAATTAAGATTTTGGAGTAGATGAATCAAAGTCCTGACTTCCCATTGAGATGCTGTGGCAAGACCTTAAACGGGCAGTTCATGCTCGAAAACCCTCCAATGTAGCTGAATTTAAAAAATTCTGCAAAGAAAAGTGGACCAAAATTCCTTCACAGTGATGTAAAAACTGATCACAAGTAATCGCCAACGTTTGATTGCAGTTGTTGCTGCCAAGTGTGGCACAACCGGTTATTAGGTTTAGGGGGCAGTTACTTTTTCATATGGGTGATATAAGTTTTGAATAAATCTTTATCTCAATAAATGGAATGATCAGTAAAAAGGTGTACTTCGTGTTTACTCATGTTGCCTTTATCTTTTATTAAAACTATGAATGATCTGAAACATTTAAATGTGACAAATTAGCAAAAATAGAAGCAAATACTTTTCACAGCACTGTATAAGACATATTCATAAAGGACTACATCAGCCAAGCATGGACAAAAATGCCAAAATACTAATGGAAACCAGTTTGGATGATTTCTTTTAAATAATGTGAGCCAGCCTTAACTAGCTTTCATTCAATATTCACAAGAAACCTGTAAGAAACTATTGCTTCTACACAGACAACACATGCACATCTAAACACATCTAACATTTACATCTAAAATGCACTTTTAAAAGAATATATCACCAAAACATGGCTTACGATGCCAGAAAACTAATGGGAACCACTTACCATGACTTCGCTACACCAACTAGCTTACTTGATAATTTACAACGAGATAAAGTCTTGTTTTCACAGACGTTTACACACTTCCAATGTAGTTGTTTGCACAAACCTTTGTATATGTAAGATGTATCACAAGAACACATCAAACAAACATGGATAACAATGTTGCACGCCAGTTAGCATTGTCTCTTTAGAATAACGCCAACAGGCCCCAACTAGCTGCCATTTATTATTTATTATGTGAGACAGTAACTGTCAGTTAATAATAACTGTGTGCAAGGCTGCAGTCTTTAAACACGTCATCCATTATTAGACACTTTCATGAGTGTAATGTGACTTCGGTGTGAGGAATATGGAGATATTAGCGTTATTGTCATAAATTATGCAACAATACACTTTTTTTCTGAGTGCATAATGGGATCATCAGCACGTCTAGAACACCGAATAACTGTTTTAGACCAATTATAGACAACAACAATAAGCAGAGCTGTAACTGTACAAGCTGCATAGCAATAAGCAGCTGATTGAATGGCGGCCCATTATGCCATTATCTGTCTTATTATCATCTTCATTAGTAGCAGTAGTAGTAACAGTATTATTATTTATTAAATAATGTGTGTTTACTCTTGGATTGGAAATGTTACATAAAATAAATACTTTATTTTTGCAAATGTTACATAACATAAATAACCTATTAACACCGCCTATTAAATTACACATTTTGTTGATTGAAAATAATTTAACACATTCTTTACAGAGAACACACTTAAATATTGCATTTTTTCTGGTACATTTTAATGCACAATTTCTATTCATTTGCTGAGTTTAGCATATTGGAAAAAAATTTAAAATATAAATGCTTTTGCTCAGGCCAGCGTGTTATGTTATATTTACGTTAAATTCAGTATGTAAACAGGAACTGTGCATTAATTGTGCAGAAGTGTGTCTCTGTGGAGGAGGTGTTCACTTATTTTCACTTAAGAATTTGGAATTTGATAAGGCGTGGCTAAAGTTTTGCATACGACTTGTATGCATCCAGTGGTTTGGCTTATAACTTAGCCTGGCTAATACTTTTTTCAGAAAATGAAAAAAATCTGGTTAGTTTTTGACAGTATTTGTGTTTATTTGTATTTATTCTAATGTTATATGGTGCTGTTACTGGCCAGATAAACAGCTTTAAACAGTTTTCATGGCTGCCTAAGACTTTCCCACAGTGTGTAGCGATTCTCTCTCTCTCTCTCTCTCTCTCTCTCTCTCTCTCTCTCTCTCTGCATGTGTCCTTGTTCTGCACTACAGTGAACTCTCTCTCTCTCTCTCTCTCTCTCACTCACTCTCTCTCTGCGCGGTGTTGATGCACGCTGCTGCTCCAGTAACAGCAGGCCGTGTAACCAGATCCCTCCGCCCTCTCTTCCTCTCCTCTCTCCTCCCTCTATCCTCCACCCGCCTGCCCGCCCAGTCTCCGCTGGGTCTTAGAGCACCGTGGGTTGCCTGAGCCCCGATAGGCGTAGCATCTTTTTGTGAGCACTTTTCAGCAGCTCTGATCAGATGAAATAATCACTCAAGTCTGTTTGTACCTCAAAATCCAAAAAAGCCCCAGAAGGTTAAACAAGTCTATAAAGAAGCATCAAAATCTA